CTATGCACGAAAACACGTCGGATATAAAGCGGGCACCATGGAGTGGGCTCTCAAGATCGTAGAAGATTACTGGAAACGGTATACAGTTCGGATTTTGTACGAGGCCATAGTCGAGGTAATCAACGTTGAATCTCATAAGATATAAGGTAATACGGGCACGCCCGTATCTGACGTTGCGATGCTCTCCGCGTGATTGTGTACAATTACAAGCCACGAAGGAAGATAGCAACGTCATGAGAACCTACTTTTCCACGTTGAAACGAGACAACGATCGCTTTCGATCCCTCATCGACAACGTTTTCTTTTTTCTTCTTTTTGTTTTTTTGTTCTTTTCTTTTTTTTTTTTTTATTTTCCCTTATTCCTTTGTTTTAAATTTCACTTTAACCAAGGAATTTTCTTCTTCCTCCTCCTTTTTTCCTTTCTTTTTCTCTTTTTCCTTTTCTCTTTTACTTCATCTTCATATTATGATAATAATATTATTATAAAAAGATACGAGAAATTTAACCTTCCAATTTCATGACATTTGCAACATCAACAGCGTTCCTCCGAATTATTACATTTGAAATTACTAGTCGCTACGAGAACGATTAACGTTTAAAGCATTTAAGAAAGTTTAGCCTGTAATTTCTGACAATAAAACGGCAGAACCCAATTACTTTAATTTCTATTATTCTCACAGAAAACTTCTTCTAAAATTTAATAGGTTCCCAAGCCTTTTTAAATGAAATAACTGACTTTTATGCTATTACGAATATAAGATATCTATCAGAATTTTCCTTGAGGCTACGTATCTACTTGATAAATAGAATAAAAAATCTTAAATAGAGTCTGTCCCGTATTTATTTTTTCTACATTCTATGTGAGGCGTTTACTACATAAGATATCTGAAATTATTCAAAGGAGAATTTTTGAAAATCATAGATAGGAAGAAAAAAGTATAATGGAAATTAAATATGCTTGACAGTGAAGAAAACAAAAATTCACTGCGTTCTCTCTCTCTCTCTCTCTCTCTCTCTCTCTCTCATGGGAGCATAGTTTCGTGTTCTCAACTTGGAATACCTCTGATAAAGTTAACATCTCGTTCAAACTTTACCGCTGCGAGATGTTCAAAGGAAGGCAAACGACAATGTTGACGATGGAGAAGGAGGTAGAAGCGTTGCTCTATTGGGAGGATCAAGAACAAAGGATTCTATTGTCTCTTACGTAATACAGAAATGACGACGATGGTTAAGATAATAAAAATTGACCAGAAGAACATTGAATTCGAGATAAATCTAAATGTACTCATGAAAAATAAAAAAGAAATATATATATATATATACATGTATACACGTGGTCTATCAGATAAATATACGACCTTCTGCTCTAACTTTGTATTTATGTGTGCTATTGTTAAAAATAGATATTCATTATTAAAACGGGAACCTTTATGAGTGCCTTGCCCAGATAGTATGGTCCTTTGTGTCTTCAGTTGACGATGTTACGCTTTTGACGTAAACGTTGAATTTCCATGCCCGTTACATTTCACGCTAACCGAACGCATCGAATAAAAACTAGGCATTAAATTTTACCACAAAATTTTGGGCCATTCGTGTTCAAAACTCATCCACATGATTCGTAAAATATATGGCGAATAAATCCATAAGTGATATACAAATTAAAGAGTGGTTTAGGATTTAAAAATGATCGTACATCAGTTTAAAGCGACCCACTTTCGGGAAAATCTGTAATCTGCTAAAATTTTTGAAAATGTAAAATGAATTCGTATTTTAATCGATAAAACTCAATTAATAATAAAAGACTGATAAATAAGAAATATTACATACAAATTTTGACAATGAGAAGGAAATAAATCAAATTTGTGGAAAAGTAGCGTGATTTAGTGTTTCGTCTTAACGACACACTTGTTTATTCATCGCAATTTATCCAGCAATTTCTTTTGAAACACGCATTGTTCAGCTTTGTCATCTCCCATACATTCCTAATCTGATTCCCTACGATTTCTTGCTCTTCCCTAAATTGAAAAATCGTCTTAAGGGAAGAAGATTCGATGATTTCGAGGGGATAAAAAAAAACGCGATGAAGCGTCTGTTAGCTATTCTGAAATCTGAATATAAGGATTGTTTCCAAAAGTGGGAGGATCGCTGGAAGAAGGTTGTAACTTCCCAAGGGGAGTACTTTGAAGGGGACATCGCCATTAATCAGATTTAGTTCTTTCTCCTGCCATAGCACAAAGAAGGATAGTTATTTGACAAATCGTATGTATATATATATATATATATATATATATATATATATATATATATATATGTATATATTGAACAAAGAAAAACTTTGCACATAATCTAAATCAGATAATATGCAAAGTTAATTTCTAGAATCAATTGTCTCATATCACTACATTTTCTTTTGTTTCCTTTTATTTGTCAAACAATTTTCATTCTTACTATATCAATATTCTCAACAATTGTTTACTATCGTTATTATATTTACTTTTCATATAATGGATATGAAAAATGTATCGTTCCTTTGAATGAAAACATCTGATAACATTTGAGAAATAAATATACTCGAATCAATACAATCGAATAGGATAGAATTTTATTGAAAGCATATTTCTAATGAAACATTGTCCTCTACCTTCACAATGATGCAACAACAAAGTACTTCTTGTCCAACTCTTGTTGCTTTACATATTGTAAAAAAATTTTCAACAACTTACAAAAAGCATTTTCTCCGTACGTATTAGCAATATGAACAACGAGTAACATTTTTGTTTTGTTTCAATTTCAAAATTATATTTATACAATATTCGCTAGAAATATTTTTCTTTGATCTTTACCAATTCAAATAAAAACGGGCAATAAGCTTTGATATTTGTTGGTGACAACACGGAAACATCAACCACCAAACAAATAAATATGAAAATATTTAATAAAAAGCGACGATTTTATCAAAATATATTGAACATTAACAAATAATTCCTCTTTGTTCTTTGGACTAAGAAGATTTTAAAAAATGATTATTTCTCGTCTGTAAGAAAGTTTGCAAGTCTCTGATCTAAACCACAAATATATGCATAAATTTCGATTATCTCTTCAAATATGTAAACGAATATTGAACTTATAGCGTGTTATCATATATAAATTACAAAAGGGAATACAGAAAATATTTGACTAGATATTCTTCTTCAGAACGAAAGGAGTATATCGTGGGAAAATTTATTAAACTTTCTTCCAGCTTTAGATTCATCTCATCGTATTAATTAAAAAATCATATTGTATATCCGTTATAGAGAGTATAAAGAGGCAAAATATATGTAAAAAAAAAAAAAAAAAAAAAAAAAAAGAAAAAAATGTTCGATCGTAAAATACAATATAGTTCATAAATTTCTCAAAACTTTACTTCAATTCAGCGACTTCAGGAGATGGGCCTTCGTTAATTCTTTCTTGGTAAAAAAAAAAAAAAGAAAAAAAAAAAAAGCTATAGAGAATTTTAAAGTTCGTTTCTTTTTTCTCTTTTTCTTTTCTTATCGTTTTACGCTCTGTTTCGTTTTCTTATGCGAGAATTATTTTTTATGTTTTCTTCTCGCAAATTATGTTTCGCTTTCTTTTTTACATAATTTACGATAAAGAAGAATTTTTTAGTGTATATATATATATATATATATATATATATATATATATATATATATATATATATAAACAAAATTCTATTCTATTATCTCTCTCTCTTTTTTCCTCTTTCTCTCTCTCTCTTTTTTCTTAAAGCACGATTTATCCCACTTTCATCTTACTTTCCAATATCAAATGAATGTACGCTTTATAAGCTTCATCTTGTTCTTCTTTCGAATGATAAAAAGGATAAGTAAATGCGCATTATCTCTTTTTTAAACGAAAAACCATAAAAGCCGTATAATGAAAATACCATAGAAATGTAAGTTTTATTTATCTATTCTTTCAAATATGCGATTCTTCGCCGTTTTTATTTCACCCTATGATATAAAGCATTTGTATTAGATATAAAAAATTTGTACTTAATCAACACTTACAAATACATCAATGTAATGTACTTTATTATCAGCTCTCTCTCTCTCTCTCTCTCTCTCTCTCTCTCTGTCTCTCTTTCATACACTCAGGATCGATTAATAAATAAAACAAATCAGCTGCTTCATTACAAAGGACAGAATCATTAGATATTCCGGTTATCCCTAGTTGGCAATGAATATAAAAATTATGATACAGTAAATAGAAGAGCAACATGAAAAAAATGAATTCCTTAGATATTTATCTGTCGATAAAATGCCTTGATGTTATTTCATAATGAAATCCAATATCGAACATTTCCTATATTGTCCGATCAATATCGAAACGTTTCACTATGTAGTTGAACGTCGAACGATGAGGAGGTGATCCTAACTAAAAATGAAAATACGTGGCTTGAAAGAAGAATCAAGGCTTTTAGAAAACTCTGCTAGCTTTCACGAAAACTCGTAAAAGCTTGGACGGAAAGAACGGTAAAGGCTAATGCATGAGAATTGGCGAAAAAGAAACCGGTACTGGTTCTTCTACCCGTGTTAACTCACGTGAACTCACGTGTTCCAAGAGTCCGAACTAACGAGGATTCGTTAGGTGAATCATAGCTAATGTATGTATATACATATATGTATGTACTTACGATATATATACGCGTATGAAAGAGTGCACTTTCTTTACTAAAGACACGTGATGAGAAAATCCGTCGAATAAGTAAAGCGAATTTATATGGAAGCGAAATGTCATATTTTAAAAAGAATATAGGATAGGAATCTCTTGGGATAGTCAGAGAAAGCCAGAAGAGATCAAGAATAGCTATCTTAAGGGGACATCAAATGATACAGCGATAAAGAGAAGGAAAATGGGTATATAAGAGATCAAAAAATGACGGTGAATAAGAAGAAAGAGGAAAGGAAGACATCGGTCTTATTCTCGTTCGCATCAGTCACGTCAATAATAGTTACCTTGTTCGCCAGCTCGTACAACGGTGATCGTATGAATCGCCAAGAGTACGAGGAGGAGGGCGAGGGTGGTGTGCAGTAGATAGCGGCACATCTCCAAAACGAGAAGGGCCAGTCCCTACGTATTGTCCTTCATTCCCCCTTTAGCAAATAACGCCGAAACCAGATTAGGGCTGACCAGGGACACGGAAATTACGAGGAAGATCCGACTGTCCTCGACACACTGATACTGTATACACGTTGTTCTATGTGTATTGAGTGTATATATATATATATATAATATATATGTATGTGTATGTGTGTGTGTGTGTGTGTTTATTTCTCTCTATCTCTCGGCACAAATATCACTTAACTAACATCTGGCACTGCACATACGTACACTGTCTCCGTGAGAAATCCTTTTAATTTTAATCCAAAATATCCGTCGCACAGTCGACCTCTTAAATTCACTAACTCGCTGTAATCATCAATGGCGGGATGCGAATTAGTTGGCCCCAGAGAAGTGAACATTCTGCTCGAGTTCATGCTTCTTCGTATTTCACGGCACTTCCACGGAAGACCGATGGAGACAGAAACGAATGAGCAACGAATGGATGGTGGTACCGTATGCGGGAATGATCAACGACGAACTTCGCAACGACGAGGTTGAAAGGGATGAACACCGTAGTAACCCGATACCGTGTTGTGGAACAGACGCATACGAACTGAGTGTGTTTATTAAATGGACGCACGTTAACTGGCTATAGCCTGTTAAACGTCGGCCCATTAGATCCAACGGTCTAAATATCGCTAACGATAATGTGACCTTTGAGAGTCATACTGGCCACGTGCCCCGTCACACCGATCACACCGCACACACACACGGAGGACACGGTACACCGATAGGAATGCAAACAACGTTAACATAAATATCCCAATAGCTCGTCGTTGAATTTTCTATATTTGGGATAATAACGAAACCGCGAATCATCTCGCGAATTTCAAACGTTATCGTACAACATTATCAATGAATAATCAACGTTATTATCAACAACGAGAACCAACGTGCGCCGATCATTTCTACGTCCATCCTCCAATTAAAAAATTTAATCTTCATTAAAAGCTTTGACCGGAAATAAACACGTTAATCGAATGAAAATTTATTAATAGGGAAAAATGTTCAAAAATAATTCATATCGCGAACTCGTACTTCATGAAATTTGAGAAGTTGCAAACACCCGACGAATAACACAGCTACATCACTGAAAATCCGAATGATACCGTTGAAAGAGAGAGCGACAAAAAGGGAGAGAGAGAGAGAGAGAGAGAGAGAGAGAGAGAGAGAGAGAGAGAGGGGGGGGAGACAGAACAGAAACAGAAACAGAGAAAGAGAGAGAGAAAGTGGGAAGGAAGTGCACTAATAAGACACTGTGAGCAAAGATAGGACCAGATAGCAGCGCGCGCGCGCACACACACACATACAGATACAAATACGCACACTCACACACCGCACAAAGTGTATCGCTGGCTGTCGTTTCTTCGTTAACCTCTTCGATGCACGTCTCCCGTCTCTGAGCGGGAAAACAAACTAAACAGACCTCTTCGAGTTTATCCAAAAGTGTACCGCACTCGATGATTCATATTAGAAAAAAAAAAAAGATGAAAATGAAGATGAAGAAGAAGAAGAAGAAGAAGAAGAAAGAAACAAAGAGAAAAACCAAGCAGATAATTTGTTAATTTGAATTATTAAAATCACTTTGGAATTTGAAGAACACTCGTCCTTGCGTATATCAACATGAATTATATATATATAAATATATATATATATATATATATATATATATCGTATCACATCGAACAAACACCAACTAATCGACTTTCAATATTATCGATGAAGTTTCCAAATGTTTTTATACACTTTTCGATCATTCAAACTGCTCGTCCAGGTGTTAAACATGAACACCACATTATTCGAAAGAACTATCAAGAACGATACGGGTTCGAACGAATGTTTTAATCGTACTTTTCAAGTACTGTCCGTTCACTTTTCTAAATGAAGAACACTCGTCCATGCGTGAAGAAAAGTATTTTGAACGGCAGCCTTCTGATCGTCATATTGAGAAATCTCGTTTCCTGAATAACGCGCAATAGGGAAAGAGAAATGAAAATAAAAACATAAGAAAAAGGAGTGAGGTAAAGATAAAAAAAACAAAAACAAAGAAACAAAAAAAAACAAAAAAAAAAGTAAAAGAAAAAGGCAATAAGACAGAGCAGAATGAGATGTAGTGCTTCGGTAAAGAAGCTCTTTGAGGAAGAGTAGTAACGGCGCCAGTGGCAGCGACAGTTTCGGCAACGTCAGCAACGTCAGCAACAACAGCAACAGCAGTAGTACTAGCAGCAGCAGCAGCACGTACCCGAGCTGCGACGATGCGAGCCGTGCGAGCCCGAATGAACGGATCGCGCGACTCACTGTGCTGCCCGATAGCAACCTCGATTCAACCCGCCGCCCTACTCTCATCTCTCTTCCACTCTACTCACTCACTCTCTCTCTCTCTTTCTCTCTCTTTCTTTCTCTTTCTCTCTTACTCGCCAAGCACACATATATGCACTCATTCTATCTTTTGCTTACTCGCACAAACACATATGCATCCACTTTCTCTCTCTCTCTCTCTCTCTCTTTCTCTTTTATTCTTTCTCTCTCTCTCTCCCTCTCTCCCTCTCTCTCTCACTCTCATTTTGCCTCCCTCTCACACTCATTCGTCCAGTTGCGCCGAAGCGTCGCGCCGTCGCGCTATTCCTGTCCGACCAAAACTGCTGTTTACTACTTATCTCCTCTTTTTCGACCACATCTCGATCGCCACTCCGCTCCTACGACCACTAAACGCGTCATCCTTGCAAATCGAAGAGGGAAGGAATGACAGAGCCATTATAGTTATTTATGATTTGTTGAATATTTTTATGATTTCATGACGACATGATCGGCTTTTAATAATAACTTTAATAACTATAATTCAAAGTTGAATTCGGATACTTTTTTTTCTTTTTCTTTTTTGTTTTGCTTTTTTTTTGTCTTTTTTCTTTTTTTTTGTTTTTTTTTTTGTTTAGGATATACAGGATATCCCTTTTAATTGTAATATAAAAATTTGGATATTTTTATTATCTTTCATGTTGCGCAGAATCACAATCGTTCGATATAAATTTACTTGCTTCGAAAGGGAAACTTTCGAAGATTTCACTTTGATCGTAAAATATATTTATAGAATAAAATTTGGTTTTATTTGAAAAAGATATATTTCACACATAAAACATTTCCATATAATTTTCTCTCTCTCTCTCTCTCTCTCTCTCTCTCTATCTATGTATCTATCTATCTTAGAATTATGTTACTTTGCACTGAAACGTTCTTTTGTATCGTCGAAAATAATCAAAAATTTAATAAAACATTATCTACGTGACAATATTCAAACTGAACTTTTTTTAATTATAATATATGTATGTATATATATATATATATACTCTACAACCTATTACCTTTACCATTTAACGATAAAGATAAAAAAAAAAACCTTAAAAATAGAGCGCGTGAACGGTAGTCCATAAACTTCCTTCCTTTTTTATCTCACTTACATCAAAATAATGTGCAAGTTACAACTTTTTAATTTTCATGACCAGAACAGGCAGGATACACACGGTTCCATGTATATACATACGTTGGATTAAACGAGTAGAGATCGAGAGGATAAAACGGTCTGTATGCATCGAGGTTGATCCGTCTCCATGTTGGTGCACGAAACAAGGACGATCGTAATTAAAAAGTTTAGCTTGATTGGTCATCGCGCGGACTCATGGCAGTTTGTTCTCGACAAACAGAGCTCGCTGAAGTCAACTGCAACATCGGCGAGTTCGCTATCGAGCCTCGCGTACCGCAACCTTCCGGAAGTTGAAAGCACCACTTGTACGTAAAATCATTCGGCTTCCATCGGATGTGTTTGACCGATCGAATGCCTCGCGTTTGTGACGTTTGTTTGCTGGATATCTCCGATCGCTGAATAAAAAAAAAAAAAAAAAAAAAAAAAAAAAAAAAAAAAAAAAAAAAAAAAAAAAAAAAAAAAAAAAAAAAAGGAAAGGATTATTAATAGAATATCTTCTAACGAGTACACGTATCGTGTCGAATGAGTGCAACAATTAATTATATTAAAATAGAAATGTATTTTATTTGAATATATATATATATATATACATATAATAAATGACCGATTGCTAGTCGGAGAAGCATAAAAGATGGGGGGGAGAGGGAAAAAAAAAGAGAAAGACAAAAAAAAGAAACGAAAGAAAAGAAGATGAGGAAGGAAATGAGGAAGGAAAGAGAAACAATATATGCTTATACGATCTGCGCGTTACGTAGAAAGAATTCTACGTTGGAACGCGTCAGTGGTCATTGTGATAGATTTCGTCGGTGTCAAAGCGGTACTTAATACTTGCTACGTGGAATGCACTGGTAAGTAGAAAATAACGATTCCCATCGGACGAGGGACATTAAGCAATGGCTAGTAGTACTATCGCTTCGAGTCATGGAATACGGTAACTCTTCTCCCATTGGTCCAACCTATGGTCCGACATCAACCACGTTCAATCTTTTCGCGTGTCTTCGCCACACCGGTCGGCAAAAAGAATGTCTTTGGAACGCGACGGTGTACAGTTACGAGTAGAAGAATACAGAGCAAAAAAAGAGAGGGAGAGAGAGAGAGAGAGAGAGAGAGAGAGAGAGAGGAAGATAAAAAAGAGAAAGGAAATAAGAGAAAGAAGATGAAACTCGTATAATTCCGGATATACTGGGTACTCGTCTAATGCGTAAGAGCATAGACAAAGAAATAGAAGGAGAAATGAAAGAAAGAAGAAAAAGAAGATCACTTAGTCTAAACGTTCCTCGCTTAACTTCGACCGTCATTAAATGCTTAAAAACGTTGACTTGGCAAAATAGCTTTCAAAGATATTGAAACGTAAAACGTTCGATACGAGAGATACGAACGTTTAAAATAAAAGTATGAACGATGGATATAATGAGGAGTGAGAGGGAGGAGCGGAGAGATTTGAGACGATAGAAGGAACTGTGAAAATTTAATGAACCATCCGTGGGATGCTACTTCAAATGCAGTGTCAATGAATACATTTACTGGGAATTCAAACGATCCAACCAAAAATCTCCTATGCGCTTTGATTAAAACTGATATTGCGAGCTACGTTCTCTCTCTCTCTCTTTATTTCTCTCTCTCTCTCTCTTTCTCTGCCTCCTTCATATTTTCATGCCCGTCGTTGATTAATCGTGCCGTTGCGTTCGCGTTTCCTCTCGCAAAACGTACAGGAAATATATCTCAACGAAGATGGCGACTAGAACGTGATCTCTCTATCTCTCTCTCTCTCTCTCTCTCTCTCTCTCTCTCTCTCGCTTTCTCTCTCTCTCTCTCTCTCTTTCAAAGTAATAATCGACTTCGGTACACTTTCAAGCCCTGGGATCATCGTTATCCTTCCGGAAAGTGATCCAAATAAGATCGATAGTTCAACATAGAAGCAGACGTAGTCGGGAAAGTGATTTCTTTCCGAACGACAAAGTAACTCGAGCGAAACCGAGGTCTCCTTCTCGACTAAACTGCGAACTTCTCTGACCAAAGGCGCAAACAACAAACAGAGCGCATGATCGTTACGCATCGTCGATTCCTACCAGTAGAGAATCGATGAACCGAAGATATCGGTTACCGACATTACACACGAAAATCGACGATAATGCGAAAACAAACGATAAATTGTTACGTATTATTATAAACATTGACAAATTGATTTTCATTTAAATTACTTTTATCCTTTTACGATCTATGATCTAATATTCTTTTCTCGTATTTGCAAAAATAGGAGAGAGAGAGTGAGAGAGAGAGAGAGAGAGAAAGAGAAAGAGAAAAGGGGGAAGCAAAAACAACAAAAAAAAAAACAAAAAAAATTTTATAGCGCACAAAATTTATAACATAATTATATTTTATTAATAATAGATATAGAATTTATACTTAATTAATATTAATCTTTGCAAATATATAAATCTATCGAACTAAAAATTAATTTTCTGACGAAAGAATGAAATAATAATTCAAAAGTATATATACGCAAACGTATGTACGAACGCGTAACTTCGAAGTTAGATATAGGGTTATAAAAAATTAAGACGTTTATACCGATGGAATAAAAATGTTTCTTGCTATTGTTGTTCGTTGTTATTGATGTTTCATATATGCTCTGTATTCTTCGTGTATGTACACAGACGTCACGTTCTCGTCATTCATTATTGAAAATAAAATCTGTCCTGCTATCTATGACGAATGACAAAGATACGTTTTATATATATATATATATATATATATATATATATATATATATATATGTATATATATATGTATATATATGTATATATATGTATATATACTATACACAGCGCATCGACAATTGGATTGCATCGGTTATTCTTTGTCATCGATTGAGAAAGCCGTTACCAAGCAACATACAACCACTGGAACAAATATGCGAAAGAAGATATATTTATTTTTAACTGTATACATTTGTACAAAATAAATTAAAAACCATCATCCCATAGCGCGATATTTGTGAATATGTTGTCCGATTGAATATCCCTATCTATGCGGAAATTAAAAAAAAAAAAGAAAATATAACAGAAAAATAGACAAAGAAGAAGAAAGAAAAAAATAATTGTTGCGAGAGTAGT